ACTTAGGTAAACAAAACGAACAAAACGCACTCAAAAAATTTACTGTCACTTTAATTGTCAGTGGAACCATCACATACTTTGATTTTCTTTTACTATACTGAGAATGGTCGCACTGTGCAGTGCCTTTTAAAAGGAGATACAAAACTCCGCCATTTTGAACCCTTATTACGTGTTGCCTACATCTTGGCGCATTATTTTTAATAGGTGCGTTTTAATCATCCGCTTCTGCTTCGGAATTATAAATTCTAAAATTTTACCACTGTTATGTTTTCATGTACCTACAAATCGCCGTAATCGCAAATGTTAGAACGAACTGAAAGAATATATCGATTGACTATCAAAATCTAAAATACACATTTGAAAATGAGAAAATGAAAACCCCAATTCCCCATACGAAATTAAGGAATCCATTCCCACAACCTTAAAGTGAAAACAAATCGAAAAATCATTGAAAAATTTTATCAAATATAATTTGACATTCTCAAAAGTTTATTTTTGAAATGTGTGACAGTAATCACAAGGAGTGATTCTTAAAAAATGTTTTTAAAGTAGGGTTTCGAAAATTCATGTATATAGAGCATACATTTCCTCTTTTTAAGTGTCAGTTTATATTTAATTCAGAGCAGTGCTAAGTTATCAAGGACCGAGTCAAGGACATGACTTGCATCTCTGTCGGCCATGACCTACTTTAGAAATATTTTTGTGGATCACTCTTTATTAGTTCATATTGAGTGATCCACAAATATGTTTTTAAAGCAGGCCATGGAAAAAATCACATATATCTTCTTTTTCAAATGAAAGTTTGGTTCCAATTCAGAGGTGAATGAAGTTATCACAGACGTGACTCCTCTGTCTTTATCAGTCATGACCAACTTTATAACCATTTTTTGTCGATAACTCTTTGTTAATTATTGTATTGCTGATTTTTATCAGGTTCAATATAACATATAACACTTATTAAATCAAACTAAATATCATTTCACCCTTGTACATTCGGCACGAGCAGTTAAGTTTACTGAATTACTTCTTGTCTAGTTAGTAATTAGATATTTAAAATTATAATTTCTTTACTTACGAATTATTACATGGTCGTGCGTCTGTCATGAGTTGTTAAATTCGCGATACCTTATTAAAATTTAATTTTCACACTAATACGTTAATAAAATATTGTCATATGATATATACAATTATTATTAAACGGACAAACAAATGTCTGTCCAATATTAATGTGTTAATATTTTGTTATGCACAAATCGAAAAGATATCAGGTCCTAATAAAATAAATCAGTAAATAATTAACCACTTAATTTGAAGATGATTTTAAGTGATAATATTTAAGCAGATTGTTAAAGAAGATAACACCTACCACTATCCCAAGCACTAAGGTTGTTTCAAGCCTACCCTAGTTGCTTGAGAAAACTCAGCACCAGCGAAGGAAAACATTCAATTCTCTCGGAAACTATGCGTTCTGTATTTGCTAGAGAGTAAAATATTATTTTTTTTATACTAGAATAATGTAGTATTTAAAGTAATAATAGCAGATATTTTCTGCTGGGATATTAGTAGTTATTCCTATACTTCACAGTCCTTATAGATCACTAGGTAGTTGAATATTTTGTATAAGTGTTCGAGCTGGGTAATAATATCAAAAGTACTTACCTTTTCAAGGTAGGGAATGTTTCATGCGGAGCGGAGAGCTAGTATAATAATTACGATTGAACTTGGGATATTATTTGTCCGTTTCCACCGCGAACTTTTCAGATTCCCGCAGTCAAAAAATTCAAATTAAAAAGAAAAAAAAAACTTTTCAGATCTGTTGTGGGACTCCGTTATTTAGAGTATATCGTCTAGCTTATTTTTTTTTATTTTACTAGGCTAAGTACATTGGAAAGTGGCTCTCGCATGTATACAGTGAGGAACAGCCAAATGGAATAAATTTGGTAATAAATATATGGGGGCGTTTTCGGAAAAACGCTCGGACACGTCCAATAGTATTTTTAGTTGCGCATTAAAAAAACAACTTTTTATACACAGCGTGTTATGTAACAGTGACTATGACTAATACCAACTTACTTATTTTAAATACAACACTCTGTATATTTTATGTACTATGTCTTACCTGTTTCGGAAATATTAAATGTTTTCCGATTTATTGCAAAAATTAACAATAATAAAATAAAATTGTTTGATTACAGAAATTCGCTACAACTCACTCAATACTTTTTACCATTTAGGTCTTAAAATGAGAAAGTAAGCAAAAACCATTTCAGCGTTCCTTTTTACTGATATGAAATAAAACAAGCTATACTTAAATAGTTTTATGTAAAACGCCTGACCTTAGCAAATTGTTGTCTGACTGCATGACAGTAGCTGTCAGTGTTATAGTCGTTTGAATTTCCTTAACTGCATATCAGAAAAATGGTTCATTTAATAGAAATGCACAAAATAACAATTCTACAGATGAGGTTATGGAGATAACACACGGACACAAATGAAAGTTGCTGGCTTATTTCATGAATATTATACACTTACTAACCAACAGACATGTTCCACAGATGGTTAGTGGTTGGATACATAACATGCTCTCAAAGTGAGTAGTAAACATAAGTGTAGAAGAAGTAAATATAAGAGGCTTGGTTGCGATGGGATATCCACAGGAAGGGGTACTATCACCTCTACTGTGGAACATGGTACTCGACACCCTCTTCAACCACCTCAATAATGACAGTCACTACACAATAGCATATGCAGATGACCTGGTCATTCTGCAAACAGGGAATTTTGAGAATATACTCTGCGAAAGAATGCAAGTAGCTCAAAAAATTATAGAATAGTGATTCAAGGACCATTCATTGTCTATCAATCCTAAGACAAATGATCCTTTTCAGAAGGAAAAGGACGCTTATGGAATTAAAACCTCCAGAACTCCTAAACACAAAACTAAAGTTTGCAACAGAGGTGTAGTACCTAGGTCTCACCTTTAACAGCAAATTAACATGGAACTCGTATTTAGAAAACAGAGTCAAAAGAGCATACATTGCTTATAAACAATGTCGCCGAACCGTGGGGCGCACCTAGGGTTTCTCCCCCAGAGTCGTCGCATCGACTTAAATGGCCATCATAAGACTTATGCTAACATACGGTTCAGTTGTCTGGGTACCGAAAACTCAAAAATTAACAGCTATCCGTAAACTAGAACAAATTCAAAGAACAGCATAACAGGAGCCATGAAAACAACACCGACCAGAGCCATGGAAGTCATTCTTAGTCTCACTCCTCTTGATATTTAAATCAAGGAGGTTGCTCTAACGACAATGACACGCCTCCGCACGGTTGAAATAAAACCTGATGTAGGATCTGGTAAGGGGAGACGTCGATTTTGACAGGAGATGCTCGATACGCTTCCACTGCTTCTAGCGAATATGGACTCCATCTCACCGAGATATATCTTCCATAAGCTATATAAAGTTATAACAGAATAAATAGAAGAGCCGGAAGTGGCAGGTACAATTCATATCTACACCGATTGTTCTAAAACAAAACATGGCTCAGCATGTGGAATATATTCCAGATTTTTAAACCTAAATATAAAATGGGCTGTGAGCAATAGTGCCAGTGTAGTTCAAACAGAGGTGACGGGGATTCTCATAGCAGCAAAAGAAATCACCAGAAACATGCTCATCTATACGGATAGCAAATAAGCACTACTAACCCTAAACAGACCACGAATCTACTCAGGGTTAGTACTAGAATGTCACCAAGCTCTGGTCAAAGTATCCATCAACAATGTGATCACCTTAAGATGGATCAAAGGTCACGCCACATCGAAAGGTAACCATTTTGCTGATTCACTAGCCAAGAAAGCAGCCAACCAAATACTTTTTGGACCTGGCCCTTCTATTGGCCTGACAGAACATTCTGTTGTGAAATTCAAGGAAACATAGGATGAAACAAGAAACTGCAGAGTTGCCAGGGAGCTTTTAAGTTATTCTGACAACACTGCAGTAAACAAATACTTTACTATGACTAGACAGAAGCTGCGCATAGTCACAGGCAGTTTGACTGATCATTGGCAAGTACGGAGCATCTCCATATGATGGGGCTGTTAGAATCTGCATTCTGCAGAGGTTGCGAACAAGAAGATAAGACCTCGAGCAAATTCTTTACGATTGCTTGATGCTTTCATTTATTAGAAGATTTATGTTCGGCAAGTATCGGCTAACACCGGCCGATATAAGAGAAGCACTTCTTGGCGATATTGTCAACTACATTAAATCTGTAGGCTGGCTCACGAGCTAGGAGGTGCCTACCTATCATCTTAGGAGGATACACAATGGGCCTAGTAAGGCCTAAGTGCTGTGGGGATAACCCACCCTCCACACGTTACAGATACAGTGTAATTTCAACGACCTCTTTCCTTCTTCTAAAATAATATTAAGTTATCTAGTAATCAGTAGAAAACCGCGAGAAAGCATAAAATAACATCTCTAACGAGTCTAGCACAAACGTATCTAATAAGTCGTTTAATCTAAATTATTGTTATCAAGAAATCAGACACTAAACAGCATTCCTTTAAGTCTCAATTTTGTCTCGGCGTTATTGCCCACACCACCCACTTCTGCGCTTAGAATACATTTTATACCATTCATCATAGACGTAAAACCCAAAGGGGTTACTTGTACTTATACGTAACTCTAAACTTTGATAAACTTGATTTTCTCTCTAGGTAATATTTTTAAATTTGTCTTTGGCATTATTAATGGATAATAACATCTTCGTATGACGTTACGTTGCTAGGAATTTATTTTTATTGGTAAAAAAAGTATGATTTTGCATATCATTTATTTTTTTTGAGGCTGTAATGCTAGGTTTGTCTTATAGCTGCTTGGAACCAGTGTCGATTGTGATACAACACCACCCACATTGACGTCTGTCATTAAGAAAACGATTTGTAGAACAGAATCATTATAATAATATCGCGCAATTTTTTCTCAAGACGCGCTTGTGGTACCATTATCCAATAAAATAGAACAATACCGCTTTAGTAGGCAAATGTCACGGTTGGGAATTAAACAAATATTTTTCGAATCGCGATTCGGACGATTCGTTTAAATATTCTAAAAAGGAAAAAAAATTTCAGTACGGCAAACACCAATTTTGTTAACAATGAAAATCAGGCATTTGGTAAGTGCGAATTTATTATGCTTAATAGCCTCTTTTATGGACCGCTAAATAAAACCAAACGTTTTGAGTTTATTTACTATGGATAATTTGCATGACTTTTGTTTTATTTTGTAATTCGGATTAATTGCTATGTACATTTTATCGGACGGAACGGATTTTATTTCATTATCAAATGCAGTACAAGTAAATTGCAAACAGGTCATTTTAATATACAGGGTTTTACACAGGTTTTCTTTAGTGCTAATTATAATTAAGACTAAATTCTATCGCAGGAATTTGCTAGTTCTGGTATCGGCAACATCCCAATTCCAATGATAAAACTTACATTAGAGAAATTTTGTATTGTACTCTGTATTTCATCAAGCGTTGCCTATATACCGGGTGTCCGCGCGAAAACTTTAAATGGAATTATTTCTGGTGTTTTAAAATATATCGACTTGAAATTTTGGAAGGTCATTAAGGAAGTAGGGGGTAAATTAATAGTGTATAAGATACAACTCCAACGTGATATCTGCCGCCCCCAGCCACCCCCCGTTCAAAAGTTTAAATGACACCCTGTATTTTTTTTACATATTCTGAAAGAGCGTAGTTTTTTTAGTATCTCTATGTGAAAAAATTACTTAATTACATAATGAACCTTGAAAGATATTTACAGCTAAAGGTTCAGATACCAGATATTCAAATATCGAAAGCAAAAAATAATAGCAAGCCATGAAAGCTGCTTCGTTGCTTGAACTGTCAAATAATATTGTTTGTGACACTTCTGTTTACACGTTAGTACAAAAGTTTTCGAAAAAATTTGACTTAGTTTAAATTAAATAGCTAAAAAAATAGAAAAATGGTTTACAGTTTGGAAGAAAAAACTGAAATTGTAGTTTTATATGGGATTGCAAACAGAAACTATTCGCAGACGGCAGCATTATTTAACGAAAACCATCCCAACAAAAATGTATCTGCTGTTTATGTAATTAATCTAATACAAAATTTTTTTGAAACTGGATCGGTAAATAATAAAGAACGTGATATGAATAATCCTGGAGCACGAGATGAAGCAACGCAAGTTGCAGTTTTTGGTCACGTAAATTTAGACCCACAGCTTTCAGTTAGAAAATTATCAGAAGCTTCGGGAGTGGCAAAAACAACGTGCCATAAAATATTAAAATTAAATAAAATGCATCCTTATAAAATACAGCTTCATCAAGAGTTGGGCGACGATGACTTCGATAGAAGAGTCCAATTTTGTGAAACTATGACAGGCATGATTCGGCAAAATAGAAATATTTTGCGAAATATTTGTTTCAGTGACGAAAGTTGCTTTTTCTTAAATGGTTTCGTAAATAGACACAATTGTCGATATTGGAGCGATGTTAATCCCCACGTTTTCCGAGAAGACCATACGCAACGTCCCCAAAAAATTAATGTATGGGCTGGAATTCTAAATAACCAAATAATTGGTCCAATTTTCTATCACGAGAATTTAACTGGGCCTAGATATCTCGAGTTTTTAGAAGAATTAATACATCCTCTTATCATTCAGTGCTTGGAAGAAAATACCGTTTTTCCAGGACAATGGATAGGTCGTAGGGGTCCTATTGAATGGCCAGCTCGCTCCCCAGACTTGACCCCACTGGATTTCTTTTTATGGGGACATTTGAAGTCTGTTGTTTACAGGACACCACTACAATCCATTGATGATTTGCGTAATAGAATCATAGAGGAATGTAGAGATTTAACACCAAATGTCTTTGAAAATATTCGGAACGCTTTCGAGAATAGACTGTACTATTGTTTAAATGTAAACGGTGAACATTTTGAACATTTGATTTAACTAAAAAAATAGAAAGAGTCCTTACTTTAGTTTATAAAGCGAAATTTTGTTGGTCTATAAGAATACCTATTTTTGTGATAAGTTGTATTTTTTTGTGATAAGTTACATTTTTTTGGATAATTAGATTTTTTTGTTTCTATCTGCTTTAATTATTTCGAAATTTGTCTACTGTCCAAGGTTACTAGTTCTTTTTTTTAATATCTGGTATCTGAACCTTTAGCTGTAAATATCTTTCAAAGTTCATTATGTAATTAAGTAATTTTTTCACATAGAGATACTAAAAAAACTACGCTCTTTCAGAATATGAAAAAAATAGGGTGTCATTTGAACTTTTGAACCGGGGGTGGCTGGGGGCGGCAGATATCACGTTGGAGTGGTATCTTATACACTATTAATTTACCCCCTACTTCCTTAATGACCTTCCAAAATTTCAAGTCGATATATTTTAAAACACCAGAAATAATTCCATTTAAAGTTTTCGCGCGGACACCCGGTATATATTTTCTTCACGACTATTTAATAAGTTAATTCTTAATACATTTTTAGTCAAGTATGATATACATAGATTCTTCCACTAGTTGGAGAATGTAAACATTCTTCAACTACTGGAATAATGAAATCAACCAATTACAAACTACAAAATATTATAACATCATATTTATGCCCAATAGAAATTCGCATATACATCATTATCAAAGGTGTGCTATGACTTCCGTGAATTGATATAAACGTCAAAAAATTTGATTTAAACTGACCGAGTTTTAGATATTAAAATTATTAGGCATTCCAAACAAATGAATTGCCAGTGGGAAGGTTTGGTATATCTAAGGGTGGCGACATACGGTGTATTCTATCTACTTTACGTAAAATCATAAATAATGGATTACATTTAAATATTTTATGTCAAAAACAATAAAAATAATATTTAAAAAACCTACCTATACATTTCTTCATAAATTGGCAGGCTTGGCGACTACTACTTCGAATTAAAATAGCGTCCAAGATGCAAGACTATGTCGCTACCCCCTTAGATATACAAGAATTTCCCACTGGCACATATTGTTTGACAGATCGTTGGAATGCCTAATTACGAAGTTTTTTTAACAAAATAAAGGATTCTGAAAATTTTGAAAGTGATAATGACATTAGAGGTATTCCACCCCAGTTATTAGAGATGGCACAACAAACAATTTCTAAACTTTTACCCAAAAAATCAGCAAAAATATATTCAACAGCGCACAAAATATGAAGTGGCGTATTGATAACAAAGCACACTCCTTTTCAGAAAATGTTCTACGGGCTTATTTTACAGAATTGTCGAAGAAATACAAGCCTTTAACATTATGGAAAGAATATTAAATGTTAAAAAACACTCTTATTATAAACAATGATATTAATATTAGTAATTATTCTAAATTAAATGCATTTATCAAGCGCAAATCGACAGGATTCACTGCAAAATAATCTAATACATTTACTCCAGAACAGATAAATAAGTTTATAGAAAAAGCTCCAGATAATACTTATTTAGTAACGAAGGTAAGAAATTCCATGCAGAAATATTTTTATACAGTGAGCATCATAAGTCACCCCCCTAACTAACTCGTTACTGGAGTTTTGTTAGGAAAATCGCCGAGACACGTCGATTTTTGATTATTAAATAGACGAGAACGCCTAACACTAGATCCAGGATCGTCCAGGCAAAAATCAGGGTCATTGTCCGAATCGTCAACTGGTTCCTCTGGACTACTACTGTTGAATTGCATATTTTATTAATTTCAAACACCAAAAATAGTAATATTGTAAATTAATACATTTAAAATAATGCACCACAGAATGTACTTGCAATATACCGCGAAATATCGGATTATTCTTACAGAGAACACACGTTCTCTAGATACTTCACACTCTTATGTAATGTATTAGAATAACAAATAACCTCTAACACTAAATAGAAAACACAAATTTGGACAGGGAATGCGAGCGTTTTGTAATAAAAAGTTCTGCATGGTCCAAAACTTAAAATGCAACCATCAGATATCAATTTTTTTAAGCCGTATACGAGGATTGTCAAAAAATATGATTTTTCCTGAAGAACTATGTAACTTTATTTTTAACAAACCTCGTATACGACTGATAAAATTTGATATCCGATGGTTATATTTTAGGTTTTAGATCATGCTCGACTTTTCAAGAAGGATATTTTTTTATTATTAGGTATATGTTAGGAAAAAAGTTATTCTTCATAAAAAGTCGAGCATGGTCTAAAAACCTAAAATACAACCATCGGATAATAAATTTCGTCAGTTGTATACGAGGTTTGTCAAAAATAAAGATACTTTACTCTCCAGCAGAGATCATATTTTTTAACAAACTTCACATCGTATACGGCTTAAAAAAATTGATATCTGATGATTGCATTTTAAGATTTGGACCGTGCAGAATTTTTTTATCAAGAATAAATTTTTCACAAAACCAAGAGTAAAAAAGGTTTCCATATGGTGTCAACTTAGTAAGACATATTCTATACAAATCATGGATTCAGAATTTCATAATAAAAATTTTAATACAAGGAAAAGAAAAATTTAGCAAGGTGGTACGCTACAAATTTTAATATTATTAAAGAATATGACGGATAAAATTTGTGGATAACTATTGTGGTGACTGTACAGTACATATTTTAAAATTTTTATCTAAATTCAAATCAAATTTCAATTATATTCTCCTTTTTTAACCACTTTTAGTTCTTTTATTTGAGTTTTGCAGTTTTGAGAACCTTATGATTGGCCTTTGTTAGGTTAATACCTAAATATGCATCTCTTGATTGTTTTCCTCATTATTCTGTGGCTGGAAGCTGGAAGCTGTTCAAAAGCGGTTTCGGAGAACTTGCACTTCCAGAATGGGATACGCACAAGGTACTTACGGTTCTAAAGACTTTCAAATTTAGAGTTTTTATTTATACGAAGAAGTATTAATGACCAGCTGTTTTTACATAAAGTGTTATCATGTAAATGATTTGTAATGAGCTATATATGTATTATCGTCTTTCGTATACCCGTTAGAAAAGTGAGCTGTTGTTTCAATGACATTAAGCTCAGGACTATTGGCAAGCCAACAAAGAACAGTTACGTTGTGGTATTCAAACCATTTCCTTGTAGTTTTGAACATATGC